AGCCCTCGGGTGGGGGGGCCGCGTGCGGAGGTGCTGCGGGAGAGGGCGGTGCGGATGGGCTGCGGGAGCCGGGGTTGCCAAGGTGGGGAGGCGGCTCCGGGCCCTGGGCTGGGCTGGGGTGGTCGGCTGCAGGGCGCCGCCTTCTGACCCGGTTCAGCCCCATAGACCCCCCCCCCTTTTCCAGCCGGCAGGTCCTTGCCAGTGGCTGGTTGTGGTTGTGGTCCCCAGCGCTTCCAGTCCGGGGGGAAGGGGTCTCGTGTCACCGACATGAGCGTCTGCGGGTGGAAAGAAGGTCCTGTCAGCAGGGGCGGCTCGTCCCAACTTGACCTGGCTCCATCTTTAGTGTGTGTGTGTGTGTGTGTGTGTGTGTGTGAATTTGGGGGGAGGGGGTGCTGGTGGAGACATGCGACCCTTTTGTAGTGTTGCATCTATCCGCCGACTTCATTCTAAAAATGAAACCGCTTTTATCCTGTCCGAAGGCATCCAATAAACACTCGTTTCAAAACCAGAGTAGTATGAACAGCACGTGAGGTCGCGTTAGGAAGAGCAGCTCGATCTGAGAGTCAGAATAAATAACAGGCACCGTGTTTTGTCTTTTTGTATCGTGCCTGCCGAGTTGCTGTAGGCCTCGGGACCAGTCGAGCCAGCTGGTCGAATCTCTTTTCTGGTTCGCCGTGTTCACATTAAAATTAGCTCCGGAGAACCGTCGTCGCAGGCTTTGCTGTTACGTTGCCTTGCATTGCTGTCTCGCTGCTTCCAAGTGTGGAAAGCTGTTTTGTTTTTGTTTTTTCAGTCAGAATGAAGAAGCCTTTGGACTTCAGATATATTTCGCTTGCCACGCGAAGAGGACTTTGTATGGGGAGCGAGATATTTCTGAAGAGGTCTAATATAAAATTTTGGAGTTGGTATTAAGAAAAGATAGCCCCCCCCAAAAGAACCTCATCTGCATGTTTTGGAAGCTGTTTTTAGTGGTACGTTCCGTGTACATGAATCTGATTCAAAGTGAACGGTGACCAGAATGCAAAATTCATGAATAGTAAAAATTAATCTGCCGACGGGAGCATGGGATTTAAGGAAAGGTTTTAATGAAAGCTTAAATCATTTATGGGTGCATCTTAAATACCTGGTTGAGCCAAAGGAGGCTTTGTTTATTCCTGTACAGCTGTTACATTTCTAAATTGTTTGCAAGATTTGTGGGGGGGGAAGAGGTGAGCATGCACCCGTGAGGCAGACAAAAAAAGAACACTTAGGATCTGATTAGGTTAAATTTTAAATTTTAATCTTTTGAAAGGGGATTGCTGAATCTGTATATTGAATCTAGAAGAAACATTATGCATTTGTCTGTTTCTCTCTGTATCTGTATTGTGAAATACTAAATTCTATTCAACTGTCATGTATAATGTACTTAAGAGACATTAAAATATTTAGCCACAATTTTAACACTTTAATTCTTAGGTCACTGAGAACTGGCTCTGCCATATGCTGTAAACATTTTACTTTGTTTTCTGCCTTCACTGAACCTTATTCTGTAGGTCTTGGCTGTAGAAACTCCAGTAATTTATATGTAGCTCAACCTGTAGTTACCGCACATCTTCATTCTTAAATTGAATTTAGCTCGCTTACTATAGGTTGTGAAACAGTATTTTGAATTAATTATGAAAGCAAATGTTTTTCCTTAGAATGCTAATTTTGTGCCGAAAATTAAGATTTGTATTCCCAGTGTTTCTGCATAGTAATCCACTTTACAATATACAGAGTTGTTTTGTAAGAAAGTACTTGACATGATTAGGAGGCTTAATACATTCATTCAAGTAATGTCATGGTTAACATTGTTACATCTGTTAATTTTATTTAAAAATTTACATGTGTTGTTTTGAATGATCTCTTTTTTCCTCCCCCTGTAGGAATCCCTGTGGAGTCTGGTAGCCATTGCTTTTTTTTTTTTTCTTCTTTTTCTGCTTTTTTCCCCCCCCCCCCCCTTCCCTCCCCCTTCAACACATTCCTTTGTGTTAACAGCAAAGATGATGGCAGTTCTAGTCACCTCCTGTGGTTTGATAGATTATTCCTTTTAGAAACACGTGTACTTAAAACTTTCCAGCCCTGATTTTCTTTCTTTCTCTTTTTGTTCCTGTAATAAATTTTATTATGCCACTCTGAGAGTTGGGGTTTTTAAAATTCATCTCTTTTGTTTGTGCTTTGATTTTTCTTTTGAATACTATCCCCCTAAATTAGAAGGGGACAGTATTGGGTTAATATATTCATTTGCTTTGTCTTTAACATGTAATTGGTGTTTTAAGGGAGGTGATAAGAGCATTCAGAAAAACTGTATAGTCCCTGGGGTACAAAATCTAGCAAGCTGACATTTTGTCTGGTTGGGGTTCTAAATTGGAGGGGTTTTCTTTTCTTTCATGATTATTTTTTTTAAGATACATTTTTTGTTTACCTCAAACTTCCTTGTCTGTTTCTATAAATATGAACTTGTTTAGTATTTTATAGCTAAATGGGTATGTACAGAATATATTGATATCCTGCACCCTACTGTACAGTCTATATTCATTTATATGGATTTTACTTGATATTTACTTTACCATTTTTGTTTTAATGCAAGTACTTACTTTTACAATGCCTCCACTCTGCATTGTGCAAAGATGCAAGGCAAGAATCCCTGAATGCCTGGGATCTAATGAGAGATGTAAATAGAGCCTGTCTTTCTATCAAAAATATATCTTCAGCATTTTGAAAGGCACACCTGTAAGTACTGTCTTAACAGCATAGCCAAGAGCATTACTGTATCTCTCTTAACTGGCAAAACAGTTGAACTTTATTGCATCTTTATTCATTAGGAATGACCATATGTGTATTACTGGGGGGGAAAAAATCCCAAACAAACCCTTCCCACCCCCCATGTCTCCCCCAACCCTGTCCACTGTGTACGCTTTTTTTAATTGAGGGGATAAGGGCTGAATCAACGCACAGTCTACTTTATGCTATCTGGGGTCAAGAAATCCAAGACTTTCTTATGCAATGAGAAAATGGCGGAAATGGTTTTGTGCTAGGTGAATATGAATACGTAATGCTCGGCCTACTTCAGTGGCTGCTAATACTAGGTAGGTAAAGTACAGAGTTGCTACAAACCTAAGAAGCAGTCATTTTTATCAACACTTTTTTTTTTTTTCTGACATCATCATTAAGTTGGCTTGGCTGATAGTATCCTAGCTGACCATATTTGTGAAAAGCTCTTTAATAAAGGTATAATATTAACCAGAGTGTTACAATCTAGCAATATGGTTCTGTGTGCTAGCAGCTGATATTAAATCTGAAAACAATAGCTTCACTGGTCATCTTCCCTTCTTGCCTTTCATTAGAGGTACCCAGAAAGCTTGCAGGCTTTTGAAAAATAGGTTGAATTAGCTAGCATAAATCCAGAAGAAAAACACATATGGATATTTAAACTTCCTGCTAGAAATATTTGAGGTTTTTTTTTTTTTCCATAACCTGCAAGTAAAATCACTGAAGATTTGACTGTGATTCAAGTGGAACCAGTTATTGGTTTCATTGTCCAATTTAAGTAAAACGCAAAAACTAAAACTACAACTAGTAGGGGGAAAAACCCCTGCAACATTTCCAGTAAAAAAGGTAAAGAAACCTTCAGCTGCTGTTCAGTCAGTCTTACCCACAATTTATATAAACAGCTAACGTATGAAAGCAACAGTTCTTCTAGCTTTCAGTCATAGAAGAAGGAGTAATGTTGAGTGGGCAGGCTTGTTTCTAAATATGTTATTTAGGTAATAGCTGTGAGTCTATCAATAGCACTTTCAGCTGTGTTATCCAAGGATGGAGGCAGATTAATTCATACACTTTTTAAAATCCTTTTATAGTGGACTACTAAAACTGAATTCATCTTTTACCATTTGATCTTTTATTTCAAATGCCAGTGTTACTTTATGGTTGTTACACCCCTGTGATAAGAAAAGAATTGTGATTGTAAGCATATAGAGGACTTTTTTTGCTCTTGTTGTGTTGTGTACTGCTCATTTCAAAATCTTGTATAATGCTTGTGTTAAATTTCTTTAAACTCTTGGCCTAACTTGCCCAGTGTATTGACTAGCTTCAAAGTTACAGTCCTGCAGTTGGATACCTGTACACCCCAACATCCTAGGGTTACCATACGTCCAGGCTTTTCAAGACACAGCCTCTTTTTGGATCCTCTGATCTCCGTCTGGGTGGCTTTTTTTGGTTTTTTTGTTTGTTTGTTTTTTTTGTTTAAGTATCAACAAATGTCCAGGATTTTGCTCTGCCTCCACTCAGCATCCCAGCAGGGCTGGGGGGAGCAGGGGGCTGTGGGTCAGGAGTGAGAGGCACTAGTAGGGGGGCTATGGCTTGGGAGAGAGGAGTAGGGGTAGGGCATGGGCATATCAGACCTCCCCCCCTCACAATCATATTCCCCCCCCCCCCTGCCCCCCCCCCTCTTTTTTTTTTTTTTTTTTTTTTTAAACTGGAAATATGGTAACCCTACAACATCCAATCCCTCTGAGTTAAATTGAGGTTCATATGAGATGTGATGTATCTGTACAGTGCAGAAGTGTAAAAGCTTTTTAAGCACATTTGAGTTTCAGTTGACATCATCCAACAGGTACTGGAAGCAGTTCTTGTTGTACATGTATCAGCACCATGAATCATCTATGCCTTTCACTTATACTGGTGGAAGGGGGGCATAAGAAATCTGAATTGATTGCTGGCCTAGATGGAGAAATCCACTGTACCTCTACAGATACGGTTTCCTGATGGGTTTATTTTAAGTTTCTTGACATTTTGTGTAGTTGAAAATACAAGGTAAATGCAGAATCTTACCTGTTCAAGACAACTGGTTGTTGGTGTTGATCATTTGTATTGCTGATAAGCAGTATCTACCTAGATAACTAGTTTATTTGTTAGTGTGGTGGAAAGTCTCATTCATCTCTGGATTTCTTTGTCAGATTTGAAATTCTTACAATTTCTGTGCTTTAAAGGGTAGGCTTTTCTGGAGAGAGGCTGCTGAAGATCTGTGGATTAGATAGATCGGTGAAATATTGGGGTCTCCAGCACCACATCCTGAAGGCAGGTCTAAAGCTTGAATTCTCAAAAGCAAAACTTTTTTGGTAAAATTTTAATCTGATTTAGAACTGTTTATTAATAGAGGTGCACTGATATATTGGTCCATGTTGGATCGGCTCCGAAAGAAGGAAAACTGACATTATTGACAATCAGCTCTTCTTGTATTTTTTGGCCTGTGTAGCCAATAATGTCACTGATAAACACCATGTGTATGTGCGTGCAGCCACAGCAGATGCATAGCTAGGGGCTGTACTGACCTCTTCGTTGTGGGGTGGGGGGAGCTGGGCTGGGGTTGGCAGCCCGGGGGGGGTTGGTGGGTGTGCTACAGGGTGGTTACAGCTACTCCAAAATTTTCCATAGCCACCCTGTATCCCCCTCACCCCTGTGCTGCTGCTTGTGCAACCCCAGCCCAGCCCCCTGCTGGGAAGAGGCTGATGCAGCCCGGGGGGGGTTGGTGGGTGTGCTACAGGGTGGTTACAGCTACTCCAAAATTTTCCATAGCCACCCTGTATCCCCCTCACCCCTGTGCTGCTGCTTGTGCAACCCCAGCCCAGCCCCCTGCTGGGAAGAGGCTGATGGAGCCCTGAGCCTGCAGCGGGCAGCCCACCCTCACCCCATGCCCATCTTGGAGGCACATGCCCTCCATGACTCCTGGGAGTGTGAGCATGGATCGGTATTGGCTGATATGGTTGGTTCATAAATGGCCACCGGTATCGGTCAGATAAATCATTATTGGTGCACCCCTCTTTATTCATTAACCAGAAACGGGAAAAGTTAGGATTGTTTTATGGTCATTTCCTTTGAGACTTTGCTGGTTACTCTTCAGTACAGTGGTCACAGGTAAGGCCAGTATCTTGGCTGAGGTGCACTAGAAACTTGGAGGTTTCTGGCTAGAGGCCCTTGCTCTTCATCGCAGCATCAGAATGATCGACAAATTTGTGGTCAGAAAGGGTTTTTATTCTATTAAATTAAACTAACAAAGAATAGATTTTTTTTTTCTTTTTCTTTTTGGAGAGGGGTTGTTGGTTTTCCCTGTCCCCCAGTAGTCCGAGTCATGGTCTTTTTTTGTAAGATCTTGTAAGTGTATATTAACTAATTTTCCTGGCATTTCTGCATCAGGATGTTGGCCATACCCTTGTCTTCCCCTTGTTTCTTTCTGCAGCATGTTGGAGTATTCTTGGTGTTTGGGTATTATTCCTTGTAGCTGTAGATGAACATTTTTAAGTTTTATTTGGGGTACTCCTTGGGTCAGCTGTTGCTTATTACTGCAGGAGACTGGATTTAGTGGCCTCCATGGCCTTTTTCAATCCTTTTGTTCCTGTTTTCTGACCTCTGGCATCTTGAAATGAGTCTGCATCTCCAACAGCATTATAAAATTTTAGGCTTTTGATGGACTTGTCTTCCACAAAGGCTTGAATCTTTTAATGAGTTAAAGAGACTAATACAGGAATATATTCCTTCTTGTTCAAAGATATTTTTTTTGTTTGTTTGAAAGTACTTAAATGCAGCATTGCGATTATAGTTTTATCAGGCAAAAAATAGCCAGGTTAGGCTTATTACATATACTATTATATATAGCCAACTGCATCACTTCATTGTACCTTTTGCATCTTGCACTAGTTACTACTGTAACTTTGAACTGTGCCTGACTAGATAAATTAACAGGTGATGAATCTCTTCCCTTCCACTCCAAGTGGATGGGTATATTTGGAGAGCGGGGGTGGGATTGTTGCTTCTTCCTCTAATCCCCACCCATTGTTTAAACTGTAGAGTGTATATGGCTTTTTGCTGTCAAGATCCCTAAGTTTTTAGGGAAATCCACAATCTGTCCCTGCTTTCTTAGCTGCAGATAGCCAAGGCCTTCCATCTTGGGGTATCTTTTTCCAATGCAGCGCATATTGGTTAGATGCTCATCAGAGACCAAGAGCTAGACTTATTTTTCACTCTCAGAGTAGTTTACAGTTGCTGCACAAACTAGTCACGTAACTAAAGGTGGGACTGAATTGTAGTATTTTATTTTAGTTAAAAGAGTGTATTATGAGATTTTTCCCAGTCCTACATCAGAGTAAGCAATTACATTACTGATTTAAGTGCTTGTTCTAAACTAGTAGATGGATCAAGAAGATGAATGTGTTTGCATCCCTCCTGTGGGGAATAAACATGTTTCTGTTACTTGGAAGGAAAAATGCCAGTATGTTGATAGCAAATTCTTTAATGACGTGGAAAATGATAGTAAACTGATTAATTTACATCTGTACTTCAGAAAGTAAGTGTGGCAGCTGTGACTTGTGTAATGTGGTAAAATAAAAATCCTGTCATGAGTGTGTCAACCTAGGCATCTTAAATTTTAGTTTGACAGGCAAGAACGTGACTAATTCCTTACTTGTATTAAAAAATCCACTGGGAGTAGAGGGGAAGAAATGATGGTGGCTTGAAATTACTGGTAATGCAGATCTCATTTCTGATGCCGCTTTCCAAAAATGAACCAGAAATGTGAGGACCTAATCCCTATCGGTGTTGAAATTAACCAATATATTTGTTTTCCTGTAAACTCTTGGGAGCTTAAACTGGGAGATGCTGGATTTTATAGAGGCATTAGTAGTGACTATAGCTTCCTTTAAATTCTTTCTTTTACCTTTTTAATGTTTAGTTTCCAA